TCAAAGGCTGCAGTCAGTTCCAGCAGGACCAGAACAGAACCGTCCCCTGCATCACTGTGAGTCAGAAGGTCATTAGAGACAAGGGATCTGTGCCTATGATGTCACACAAACCACGTTGGGACCCATTTTTTTTCCAGGTGTAAGAGCTAAAATTAATATCAGATTCTGCCAATAAAAGGGCTCTAAAACAATTCATATGTAAATATTTTGCATATTTATTGCTAAATCTCATTTTTCTGCTTTAGTGCTGCAACAAGGTGTTATTAATAAGAGATGTTGCATTTTCATTTAAGATAAAATTATGTTTTCATTTTGTTGTTGGCCCGTGAGAAAACATTTAAAAGATTTAAAGATTTAAAAGATTTAAAAAATGCTGATTATACCACAAGTAATGAATACCACTGATGCCTTTTATTTAAAACTGACTTGCTCGTGTGTAATTTGGTTATTCCACATTCAGTGTTAATGCAGAAATAAATTTGTTTCCAAATTAAAAGGTTCAAAATTGCATATATGTTGATAAAGAAAATGTGCAAATTTGCCGTCACTTTTTCAAAAAATATTAAGTTTGGCCCTCGACTCCGTCCCGGAGTTTCATTTCGGCCCCGTGTGAGTTTGAGTTTGAGACCCCTGCTTTACAGGGTAAATGAAAATCTTTCAGCCCCCCCTTGTGAGCAGGATACCCCGTTTGCAGCTTCAGCTTCTCCGGACCGCCACACTCAAGTTTCACAAAGTCACGCTTTACGGCAATCCATAACACCACCGAACCGACGAGCTCCACCTGGTCAGCATTCATTGTGACATGTTCATCATGGCGGAGCCTCAGATTAAACAAAGAAAACTTTTATCTGCTGAAGTTTCAAATAGAACATCCAACACGTTTCCTGCATGTTTTAGATTGTGAGCTGATTTGATTTAGTGATGAACCGCTCCTGCAGAAACGAAAGAAGGCTGAGGAGACTCACATTAAACGTTCTGATATAAAAACATTACTGTTATTAGTTTTCTCCTCTGCTGTTTTGCATTTGGAATTAACCGGTTTACGCTGCAGTGCATTATTGGATGCCTTGCTGTAGCTTGCAGACCCAAATACGCAGGAGACTGCGCTGATGCATCCTCGATACAGTAGGCTACGCAAGAACATAAAAATGTGGCTTTGGCCCTTTCTTGATAAAAGCTGTTAAAACCTTATATAACAATGCTAACTGCTCAGTTACACTGCATACAGGTACATCTCCTAGATCAGATTTAAAACGGGGTATCAGGCAAGGCTGCCCTATTTCTCCATATTTATTTTTGATCTGTGTGCAACTTCTCTGTGGTTATATCAAATTTAGTCCTCTAGCAGGTATAACATTTGCAGATAGGGACATTGTTGTCAGTCAGTGGGCGGACGATACTATTCTTTTTTAAAAAGATTCCTCTCAGGTAACAATAGCTGTCAACTTTATCAAAACCTTTTCTAATGCTTCAGGTCTTCGTTTAAATATTAAGAAGTTTGAACTTTTTGCTCTTAAAGACTGTTCTTTCCATCGCTGGTATTCCAGTAAAAGACTCATCACCTATCTTGGTATTGTTATTGATAAAAATCAGCCCTTAATACGCTCTCTTAATTTCACTACGGTACTACACAAAACACAAACTAGATTTAATGCTTGGCTCCAGCGGGACTTGTCTATCAAAGGAAGAGTTCTGCTAGCTAAAGCGGAGGGGTTATCCCGTTTAATCGATGCAGCTCAATCTTTAGAAGTAAATAAAGAATCCTTAACAGCTGCTGATAAACTCCTCTGCAGTTTTGCCTGGAAGAATAGAAATCATTAAGAAATCAGTTCTTTCTAACTCCTTCTCGAAAAGTGGTGTAAACTTGTTAGACTTCTCGACACTGAATAATGTATTCAAAATAAACTGGATCAAACAATTTTTCTAAAACCCAAAATCGATTTGGAATTTTATACCTAATTTTATATTTTCTAAACTTGGTGGTCTTACATTTGTTCTGTTATTGTCATGAGCCGGGGTGAGTACTCGTCTCATTATTCACCACCTTTGAGCTCTGATTGCAGGAGAGGGAGCAACAGCTGTTTCTCATCAGCGGGCGGCTTTATAAAGAGGAGGAAGACCAGAATACGACGCCGGATGATTGCCGTTAACTGGTAGTCGCTTGCCCTCCCGAGTTTTTACCCTGTTTGCTCTTACAGTTTTGAATCTTAGACTTTTTGGATTATTCGCTCATGTGATGTTTGATACTCACCTCAGGTTCCTGGATTCTTGGATAACTCACTCTGCCCCTGGAAGAAAATCTCTGGTTCGATCCTGTTTGTCTCCTCCGCCTGCCGACCCGCTCTCCACCTCGCTCACGCTCCCTCTCCGGATCGATATCCTCGCTCACTCTCCGACTCACCTTCATCTTGGACCGCTTCCCCATCTTGGATATCACCCCGGCTCACTCCCCCTCCAAACAACAACTCTTCTTCCGCATAGTAAGTCCGCCTACAAATAAAATCTCCCGGAACTACAAGACCCATACTCACATCTGTTTTCCTGTACGTGCCGCTTCCTGATTTGGATACCCACTGGACTTCAGTGTGCCCTTAGTTTCCCGTTAAATATCATTTTACCTTTTACTATCAAAACCTGTCACCGGTCTCTGATTCTGCATGTCTTGGGTTAAACAAATACCTCAGACCATGACAGTTATGTAACGTTAATATTGATGAAATTCCTCTCAAACTGTCAAATTTCCATGAACAAATGCTTCTGTCCTGGTCCCTACTTTACAAACATAACTTCTCCCCACACAGGTGTTATATTTGGACCAACAGAGATGATTTATACAAACACGTCTTTATTCTTACGAAATTAGTTTGATCGTGGTATTTATCTTGTTACACAGCTTCTTGACTCAGAAAGTAATTTACTCTCTTACGCTGACTTCCTAAATTTATATGGTTTACCTGTTCCACCAAAGGAATACGCCATGGTTTTTGATGCTATCCCTGCTGGAGTTGTAATGCTCCTCAAAGGCTCAGTGGTCGGGGACTGGGCCCCACTGCCACTGGAGCCAGCTGTCACCTCTGTGGGCAGGATCTGTTTTTGGAGGATGAAGAAAAATAACAATGGTGATATAAGGCCTCTGTCTCTAAAGGATAAGACTCATACTCCTGATGCTATTGTAAACTGGAACAACTTGCTTTATGACCTGGACTGGGAAAAGATTTGGACTCTACCATCTAAGTTTCTATTGACAAACAAAGTAAAAGAGGTTTCTTTCAAGATTATCCATCGTTTCTATCCTACAAAATCTTTTCTGAAGAGATACAAAAAGGATATTGATGTGAGCTGTTCATTTTGTAACCTCCAAGTCGAAGATGTTCTACATATGTTCTGGTCTTGTCGTAAGTTCTGGCAAGGGTTTAATATTTTTGTAATAACATATTTTATTGAAGACTTTTCGCTTTCTTTGGAAAATTTGATATTTGGTGTCTATAACTACTCGATGAATGAATCAGACCAATTGTATTTAAAGAGCAAGTAACGTCTAAATTAACTTTTTTTTGCTGATGAACTGTATAAATGAGTGTCTAATAGTGTTTTAAATGTGTGTATTCATTATTTTAGCATTTTGGTGCATTTTCTTTAAAAATTAATTTTTCAGCCTAAAAACCACAGTAATGCGCCACCTTCAGCTTAAAACACAGAATTTGACACATTTTGAATAAATTTTAGCCAATGGCTAAAGAGTAAGATACTACGTAAACCAGTAGAGTACTACGTAGCAGCTCTTGTGCCAAAGTTATAAAGCAACGAGAGTCTCGGCCACGCCCTGTGGCGAGTTGGGAGTTGGATTTGCAAGCGAGTGTAGGACGGTTAGCGGTAGTTCAGCATTAGCATATATCATTAGCATATTCTAGTCTTTAGCATAGCTTTTAGTGTTATACATACTTATTTAGTGTTAGCTTGGCTGTTAGATATTGTAGTTTAGTTAGTGTTTAGCTGTTAGTTTTATTAGGAAAGTAATTCAGGTTTAGTGTTCCATATCGTTAGCATATATCATTAGCATATTCTAGTCTTTAGCATAGCTTTTAGTGTTATACATACTTATTTAGTGTTAGCTTGGCTGTTAGATATTGTAGTTTAGTTAGTGTTTAGCTGTTAGTTTTATTAGGAAAGTAATTCAGGTTTAGTGTTCCATATCGTGTTAGTATGGTTAAAAGGTGTAGTGTAGTTGGTTGTGGTGGCTCTGTGGGGTTGCACTCCTTTCCACTGGACTTAGAAATTAGGCGCCAGTGGTTGCGCGCAATCGGTGTACTGGAAAACAGTCAGCTCCCGCCTGGTGCTGTAGTCTGCAACCAGCATTTTACCCGCGATTCCTTCGCCAACATGATGGAGTTTGAACTGGGTTATTCTGCACGTCTCCGTTTGAAGAGGGAGGCCGTGCCCACCGTGGCTCTTCCACGAATTAGATGCAGCCCACCGACTCTGCTCCCCCACCATGGCGGGCTCCAGTCTGAGGTGAGTAAGCTAAATAAAAGTTAGCATCTTCTAAAGACAATTTCCTACCTAAATGCAAAGTTTGAGAGACGTGGTTCACTCCATTTAGCTAATATCAGCCTGCACTGCCTTCGGGCTAATTTGTCAAGTTCACAAAATGTGGAACGGGATGTAAGGTTAGAATCAGCGGCGAATCGGAACATTTCTCAAAGCCCTGGCCGACAAAAAAGGTCCACTTGACTATTTCTGTCAGGCTCGGAGAAAATTCGGGTTGTTTTTGTGTCAGTCGGTAATTCAGCAACAGTGGCTCTAACGCAGCACTAGTTGACAGACATCATTACAGCGTGAAATCCAGCTTTACACCAAAGCCTAACCCGGTTCTGTGAGGAATTCTGTTCAGGAGGTCGCATTTCAGGTTCTTCACATCATATGTGACTGACTTTGACATTATAATAACGATCACACACTAGGAATGTTATAAAGCGCCTATATATATATATATATATATATATATATATATATATATTGGACAGTTTCTTTTGTATATTATATGACTTTATAAACTCCAACAACAATGTGCTTCTATTTTTTGTTTCAGGCTAAATCTACCCAAGACGTTGGCTGTCAGACTGATTTAGTAATCTGCAAAAATGCACTTGTCCAGGCTCATGTAAAGCCTTATCGACGTAGCAAAGGTGAATTATTTTTAATAATCTTCTATGTAAACATTTTATTATTACCTTCTAGTTTTAATTTGTTTTACAGATTATTGTTACACGTGATTTTATGCTATTTTAAACATTTATAAATGTGCTGCTTCTTTGTATTTTACATAGCCACACAGTTTAGAGCTCCCAGCCGCAGTGTGTCTTGTGACACAGGTACCGTGACGGAAATTCATCTTCCACAAAGTCCCAGAGCTGCGTCCACACCCCTGAAAAGACCACGATATGAGGTGTCTGTTGTTGATCCCAGCTTCCACCTCAATGACAGTGCAAGCTCAGTGAACTGTTCAAGGTAAAAAAAAATTATAACATTTTAGAATTTTTTAGTTATGACCATATATATAAATGTATGTGTTCTATACAGCTCTTTCACTGAGGTCCATCCACAAAAGGACAAGAAGTACATTGTTCATGAGAAACAGTTGCTGGGGCTGTTCAGAAGGTGTCCCGTTTGTACCGGTCGTTGTGTTGTGAACACGACAACAGTCGGCACACTGCTCCGTGTGACACAACGGTGTTCATGCTGTGAGCACTACAATGAATGGTCCAGTCAGCCCATGGTGAACAGCATCCCAGCAGGAAACCTCCAGCTCTGTGCTGCTGTCCTTTTCACAGGATCATCATTTAGCCAGATTTCTAAGGTATAGGCCAAAACTGTTTAGGTTGGTTTTGATAAGGTCTGTGCGTCTCTCATTTCATGACGTAACTTTTCATATTTTAGTTCCTGGGTGCCTTCAATGTGCAGGGACTGTCCAAGCAGTCATTCTGTCGGCATCAGGCAAAGCTCTTAATTCCAACAGTGAGCTGGCAGTGGCAGCTAGAGCAAGCTGATATCATCCAGGAGGCTACTGAATCTGGACCTGTGACTCTTGGTGGTGACATGCGAGCTGATTCACCTGGTGAATACGTTTAAATTTATTTATTTTATTCCTTTGCTATCAAATGTAAATTAAGTAATAACTTGCATTTCTTGAAGGACACTCAGCCAAATATGGCAGCTACACCATGATGGATCTCAAAAGAAACAAAGTTATTGATATCCAACTTGTACAGGTACAACATTACCTGATGATTCCAAAACATTTAATGGTTAATTATTCACAGATCAATGGAGAATTATGTTTATTTTCAGAGCAATGAAGTTGGGAATAGTGTGCGAATGGAGAAGGAGGGATTTGTGAGAAGTCTGAGCACACTTTTGGAGAGGGGGGTCGATGTGCAGCAAGTCGTGACTGACCGCCACACAGGAGTGCAGAAGTATTTGAGGGAGGAAAAAAAGGAAATCAGTCACTACTTTGACCCCTGGCACATGGGAAAAGGTAATCTTTGGGGATGTATATAGTGAATATTACAGGATTTTTTTTTCTATTTTAAATGTGGGTCTATTTGGCTCTCCAGGAATTGGTAAGAAAATCGAAGAGCTGGGGAAGAGAAAGACGACCCAGGATGTGAGACTGTGGAAGCAAAGTGTGGTGAACCACCTCTACTGGTCAGCATCCAGTTCCTCCTCAGGACAGGAGGCAGTTGCAAAGTGGACTTCAGTTGCCAACCACATCCAAAATGTGCACAGCCATGACAACGCCCTGTTCCCTAGCTGTCTGCATGCACCTCTGGATGGAGAACAGGCAAGACAGTGGCTCAAACCAAGTAAGTGTAGCATGTACTCATTACAGCTGAGCCTTTACTGTTTGGTTTATTTACATTTAAAACACGTCACCCCACAACAGAATATTTGTCTTCACCTCCTTCAACATGGAGAAATATTTTTTGAGCATGTGAGTAACAGACATCACATGTAGCTGCTAAGGTCACACACCACCATTTGGCCAACAGCAATTAATTACTAAGAATAAAATGCTGTGCAGAAATTTAAACACACGAGTGCGCCACACAACTCATGGTTTTAGGCAGAACAGCCATAATTGACATAATATGTACTAAAATGCCGTAAGTAATGACCACACCTGTCTACAGCACTATTAGTCACTCTTTCATACATTTGTCATCTAAAAATGTCAGCTATGGGTAACTTTTTCTCAATGGAAATAATAGCAACATTCTAAAGTTGATCAAATTGTAATTTTTGTAATTAACATTTTCTACGTAGGCACAGCATCATGTGAGAAGCTCACTGCCATTCTGTTAGCTCCACGGTTTGTGAAGGACGTAGAGAAGATAAGCCCTCAGTACCACACATCCACCTTGGAGGCTTTCCACAGTCTCATCATCAGATTTACTCCAAAAAGTCAAGTCTTCTCCTTCAAAGGAATGCTGTCTAGGTAATGAATACAACAAATGTTCAAATTAATGCCTCTAATTGTTCAAATTTTAGCATGAAATGTAGAATTTTGCCTCAAATCTACATGGTTTGTTTATTTGATTATTTCAGATTACAAATTGCTGCAATGCACTATAATGAAAATGCAGCACGCTCACATGCAGCAACAGCAACTGGTGAGCTGAGATATGCTGTAGTGTACCCAAAGTACAAACGTGGAGACTACACAGTGAGAGCCCTGAAGACCAATCCAACCTCATGTATGTCATATATTGTATGATAAAACCAAAATGATGGTCATGGAGAGCTATTGTAATACTGAAAACCCTTTTCCAGTATATGTGCACAAGCTTATGGACCTGCTGTTCGACTCTGTGGTGGTGGATCCTCTCCCATATCAGGAGTACTCGGACAAAATTACGGTTCCAGAACCGCTCTGTGCCCAGTTCCAAAGACCAGATAAACGGGATGCTGTGAGCAGGCACAGGTCCAGGTTTTAAAGTGCACGTCAGGTGAGCTACACAGGAGATTGTAATTATTAGTTAGTACTCTACTCTGTGTGGTTTCTCCTTTTCTCCTCCTCAGCCAGGCTGCACACCACTGTACGACAGAGGAGTTACCTGTCGTCATTATGGATCTTTATGCTCATCCACTCGTGACTCATGCTGTCCACCTCCCAGATGTCTATTGATCTCTACAACCTTTCTGCTCTGTGGCTCCCATACAACTTGAAAATCTTGGCCGTATGTAACATAGCAAAACTCACCAGTCTTGCTTTTGTAAGTCATACTAGTCATACTAATATTACTTTTTCCTTAGAGCCTCCTGATCTTGTAACAGAAAAACCTGTGCTCCCGGGATCCATCTCCACGTTTGTCATCACAGTGAAAGCTACCTCCAGTCTAAGGAACCTATGAAACATCACTGTTGGCCCAACCTCTCCTCACATGGCTCCAGAATCTCTGCTTGTGGTTTAGAGTTTTGTCAAAAATCTTGAAAGTTATGATCAGATTGTTATCTAACATTGTCTTAGTAGTAGCTATAATAAATGTTATCTTTAAAGCGCAATTGTGTCTTTTTAAATACAATTATATTGATATTTTGATGTGTATAAATACATATATCACATTTATTATCATTCATTTTTACCTAATTGAACCTGCTCTAGAATAGACTTCATTAATCACACAGGGTGTAAACTCACTTGTTACAGCAGCATTAATTAACCCCGAATTAGAACCTTACTGTTGTAAGAGCTCATTTGAAAGTATGTGGCTATATGTGTGTATATATAAATAATGTCAAAGTGTAAAGAAGTGCATTTACCGTTTTGTGATTTATGCAGCTTTTTATGGACAGGAATCAATACAGGAAATATATATTATAACATTTATTTAATCAAAAAATATATATTAGTTCAGAGGAGGGAGGAATCCTTTGTATGCACCGTCTTCTGGGAACTCCTGCCTTATTCTGGAGACAGCGCATGACGGGATCACAACACGAACGTGCTGTCCCAGGTAACCCCAACACCACCTGACCACATTCCGGTACGCCAGATGTCTGTAACAGCTGAGAAAGAGGTGGTATGAGTTATAAAGTATTCATAAAAAAAGTAATTTGACAGTTGTCTTACCTGTTGAGCGTAGTCTCCTGCATCTCCCCATAGAGTTGCAGAAAGGTGCCATAAACTGCCTGCAACACGTAGGGATTCAGAGCAACAGCCTCAAAACCAGGATGCTCTGTTATGCAGGAGGTTACACCCACCTGCTGACACCTGAGCATTACCTATGACAAAGAACAACTGATATCAGGTCTATAAGAGTTCAATATTAGTATGATGTTAGTGATTGTGTAACAAATGTGTACATTACAGAATGCTTTTCTCATGGTGGGGTACTTTTATTTTTATACCTTGGGCGTTTCTCTGCAGCACACATTTTCTCTGGCAGACAATGATGTGCAGTGGCCGCAGGTGCACCTGTCGAGGCAGTCATACAATATTACTTTTAGCTAAGCTAAATATAGCTAGCTGTGGCTAAAAGCTACTTACCACTCAGAGACTGGACCCATTCGATGCCTTGATACTCCTGCTGGCTCGACTCCAGGGGCCTTTGACAACTCACGAGCTAGTGGCTCAAAAAGATACGGTTCAGGACCGCTTGCTTCCCCCAATAAGCCCTCCTCCCTATCCTCTGGGGAAGAAGGTGGGGAAAAGTCCTCCACCTCGAATGACTGCTCTGAGCTAGTGTCGCTCTCCGTCGCCATCTGTATTCAAATTTCAGTATGTCAATCACGGCCGTAGCTCCGCCTTCTCGGTCTTACAGGAAACGCCTCTTTGGGCCGCATTTTTCAAATATGAAATGTGGGTGGAGTAAGACTCTGAGGAGGCTGTTACCACTACTTTAACCAATTTATGAATATTGTTGGCTAAATTTCATATTCATAAGACAAAATTTTCTAATGCAAACCCTTGTTTTCAGCTGTTTCTCTGTGAAAGGAAACGGTATCTATTATCCATTCAACATTCCCACAAGGCAAAAGCAACCAAACAGTGAATATTTGCTCCTCTTTTTGGCTTATGTAAATCTTATCTCAGCTGGCTGTTTGTGTTAGGAACCCTGATACCATGTGTTGTTGTATGCATGTTCTTTTTGGTATTGTTTGTAACTATTGTAACGTTCTAACTGCAAATAAAGATTTGTTAAAAAAAAAAGGTGACGCAAGAAGACATCCAGGAACTGGATGCCAGTTACGTTCTAGGATTGGAACAGTTCTACGTTGATGGCGTCTAACACGGACGCAGTACACAAGTTCAGAGCAGTGTTGTTTTTAGCAGCCATCTTAGTTGTAGTCCTAATCTGAAATACATTTTAGTTTTAGTCGACAAAGATTTTAGTTTTTAGTTTTACAAAGAACTAATTGGCGTTTTAGTCAATTGAATTTATAGATCACACGTGTCCTCTGAGCTACTGGGGTGAGTTTTATACCAACATCACTTCTTTTTGGACTACAGGAGACCGACTCAAACTCAGCTGCCCAGATTTAGAACAGTAAAACAATTACTGATTGATGACCACTATGTTGTATAGGATGAATTTATGGATGAAGATCTGTGCATCATTTTGTAGATTTTCAGAAAAGAATATGGTGCATTTCTTTCCTCAGCAGAATAACTCTAGCCTAGTGAACTAGACCAAAGTCTTCCTTTGCAAAGTTGGAATTAAATAATTAAATAATAAATTTATTTAGTCTGGCTTGCCAGGCTAGAATAACTCGGGAGCATGCAGATTATTCAACAGAATAATTACATAGAAATGGCTAAAAGTGTCTTGTTTAATTTATTGTTAGAAATATGAGAGTTTGTGTCTAACTGTATAACCCACCAGCTTAACTGCAATAATATTTTTCCACAGTTCTGCAGAGCTGTGAGTTTTCACGGAATGAACCCAAGTTGTTCACCTGAGCATCATCAGTGATGCTCCTGCATCCTCACCCAGGCTGTGTGAAGCCACAGCAGCGTTTAGACTGTTCTGTTGTTGGTAAACAAGCAGGAATGTGTCCCGTTATCAGGAAGCAGGCAGCAGAACAGATGGTTCTTCTTAAACGTGCTCAGATAAAACCTGCTAAAACATCACTTCTTTCATTTATCTGCCCAAAACATCACGTTTGCAGGAAGCACGCGCGTAGCAAACGTGTTAAGATCAGAATAAAGCAGCATCATGATCGCTGATGCGCGCTCCCGCGGCAGGGAAACGCTCTTCTCTGAGCCGAATGCGCGCTGCCGTGTCTGCTTTAGCCCGTCAGCGTCTGTTCCTTCTGAGAAAAACACATCAGTGACATTATTAGTCATCAGAACCACAACAGCAACACGCCAGAACCTGGTTACCATGACTACAAGTGCCGCGTGCATTTTTGCACTCTGCCCTTTCACGTGCCTTTGATAGCGTCTGCGTAATTGCGTAAACTTTGTGACGTCATCAAGGACCATATAGCTTTGGTCAGCTCAGTCTCCCTTCATTCGCGAGCGACCACTGGTGGGAGACGCATCATATTCTGAGTCAAGCATCCATATTTGTTTATTGTGTTTGACAGAAGAGCCATAACCTTCACAGCTATGTCTACTGATCATCAGAAAGCCATAGATGTGTCTCAGTGTAGACACGACGAAGAGTTTTATCACTATTTAGCTCTACAGGAACGCGTTCAGTCCGAGTTTGGAACCATAGAAAAATGGCTCCACGATGAAAAAGAGAAAACGGTACAAACAGAGACTGACTGGGAAAAATGCCAAAGCAGGATTAGTGAACTCAAACAACAACTGGAAGTTTATGAAGAAAACATCATAGATTCCTACAAAATCACGATGGAGACTTTAAAAACTCAACTGGAGAAGAAAGGGAAAGTGTGTGATCAGCTGAAAAGGCTTTTGAAGGAGGAATCCCAGCTGAGACTCCGGTGTGAAAGGGGTCCGATAAACAGCCGGATTAGGAACAACATTTATCAGAAACTGAGAGACGAAATTAGTGAATGTGAGCAGGGCCTGGATTTCTACCAGGATGATGCAGAGACCTGCAAAAATACCATACAGGCTTTAAAAGTTCAGCTAGAGGAGCAAGAAAATGTTTGTGAAACTCTGCAGAACAGCTTAAAGCTGGAATCAGAGCGGAGAGTGACTCTGAAACGCGAGAAGCAGAATAGAGACTCGCTCAGCGACGATTTCAATAAGCAAATTAAAGATCTGAAGCTGGCAAATGCAGATCTCACCAGCAAGATAGAAAAGTTGGACTCTGCTGAGAACAAGGAAGAAAAAGACCTCTCTGAGGACCTGGAGAATGATTGGATGGTGAAAAAGATTACTCATCTCTGGGACGAAGCAAATGAGCCCAAACCAGCTGAGCACATGTTTCAGATCTTACAGCAGAAGTCAACTGCGTGTAAGCATCCTAGTTTTGACGACCTTTTCCAGACGTCGACGAAAGATTACGCAGCGCTGAAACAACTGGAAAAAAGTTTTCACGATCAAAGGGACGAAAGATTCAAATTAGAGGAGGACTGTGAAAAATCCAGAGCTGTAATCAGTGAACTTAATCAGAAACTGGGTCATTACAAAGCCCAGGCCAAGCCCTACAGCAAATACATACTGGAGTTAGATTTCCAGGTAAAAGAGAAAGACAATCTGTGTAAAAATCTCCAGAAGAGAATACGACGGGAATCCCAGTTGCTGAGACTCCGGTTTGATCAGAAAGAGAAAAACTCGCAGAACAAGGACAAAGTTTACAAGAAGCTGAAGACAGAAATGAGTGAATTAGAAGCAGGTCTGGATTATTACCAGAGTAATGCGGAGACCTTAAAACAAACGATTGAGACTTTAAAAATTCAGCTGCAAGAGAAACAATCTCTGGCTGAAAACCTGCAGAGTGCTTTAAAACTGAAGACAGAGCTGAGACTAGAGTTTGAACAGGAACAGCAGAACAAAGACGTGCTGAACGAGGATTTGCAGAAACAGATTAGAGAGCTAAAGGAAATAAACCAGCATCTCGCTGACAAACTGGAGAATCTTTCCTCCAGGACCACCGAGCTAGACGAGAAGCTTTGTGAGGAGACGGAGGTCTTTACACACCAGCCGCTAGCAGAAGCTGTTCCCTCTGAACCACAAACATCTGTGGAAGCTCTGGAGACACCTTCTGACCAGAACTGTCAGACAACAAAAGATGTTTGTGCTCCGACTGAAATCTACGAGGAAAGGTTGGAATCAGTGGACGCAGACAGAATTCTCCATGAAAACGAGTCTCCCCCCAAAGACGGCGTTCCACAAGCAGCCAGACAAAACCAGCAGAACATTTCAATGTGGAGACGCTTCAAAAAGTTTATTACTCCGGCGTGTCTACGGAGACATAAAATTAGGCCATAACTAAATCATCTGACTGCTGGAGCAGGTATGTTAGTTCATTATTTCTGCAAGACATTAGCTTTAGCATTAGCGTTCTCTGAAATTAGACATTTCCTCCACATCAGCTATGGGTTAGTTTACTCCTGGTGTTCTGCCCCCCCATCAACACCTCCACCACAAATACACATTTAGGTTCATTAGAAACCGCCCCTGGATGTGAGCGAGTGAATAACTAATCTTAGATGCAACACCCCCTCACAGAAAACTCAAGCACACCAGAAAAAAATGGGGCTTCATGATGGAGAAGCAGTTCTCCTTCATGCAGGCGTGGGTTTACTCCGGGCGCTCCGGTTCCCCCCACACACACACGTTAGGTGAATTAGTGGCCCTATCGTGTCTCTGGGTGTGAGTGAGTGAATAACTGATGTACATGAAAAAGTTCTTGAAGAAACTCTGATGGGGGCTGCTTGCAGTAGCATCTCTCACAGAAAAACCCTTCAGACATTTCAGCCGTTACACCTTCCTGGAGGCGGCCATCAGATCAACTACTGAACATTCTCCCTCTCCTGCTATTATAGTCTGAATCTGTTCAACATAGAGAGTGAGAGAGGATTATAAGATACCTTTCGTCAAACATTTTGACAGGTCTATTGTTCTTTGACCTTTTTGACCTTTCAGTCCTATTGTTCATTTTGACCCTTGACCTTGCCCCCCTTTCCTATCATTAATCAAATGGACAGGTGTATTGTTCAATCTTTGCCCCCCCTTCCGTATCATTAATCAAATGGACATGTGTATTGTTGATCATCCAGATGGCCTAGACCCCCCACGCCGCATCATCAATGGCGTATTGTTGAGCGTCCAGATGTCCATGATCCCCACGTCATAGGCTAATGTGTGTAATGGCGTGTGAAGTTTCTTATTGTGTTACTCCAGCGGTTCCCACAGCCCCCTCCCTTCTGAGTGTAATCCTATAGTGGATAACTCTTTAAAAGCTCAGATCTGTCCGAATGGTGAAAAGCCGAGCTCTAAGAAAAAATGATGAACCACGAGGAGATGCATGAAGCACCAAGCCACGAGGAAGAGGTGCCTACTACATCCGACGCTTCAACTTCAACTCAAAAAGTGAAAGAAGAGAGCGTGGATACGCCGCTGTCAAAAACCATGCTTTGTGAAAAATCCATCGCTATACATCAGATGCCGGCTGGAATTGGTGCTCCCCGCAAATCTACATTTTAAATCTGCAGAGTGCAGGTTCCTCCTTTCGGCGGTAAAGAGATCTTGGAGCAAATATGGCAGTTGGAACCTTACGGCTATTCCGGTAGTTTTGGGTACCGGTTCAGCTACGACACTAAGGAACTGTGTTTAATCCAAGATGTGGCTGAGGGGGAACCTCTTAAATCCTATTTATCAAACTCACCAGCGGTTCTCTCCTACAACGATTGGGCTGTGCTCAGGCTGGCTGTTCCATGCAAGGTGCACAGAGATGATGAAGAGAGACCTCGTACGC